GCCTCTTCTAGTCTTGATATGAGGGTTTATGCCTAGTCTTATTGAATCTTGTTATGCTGTGTTCAGCTGATATACCTAGGAGGCCTGCTTTTTTCTGAAGGGAAAGGAGGAGCAGTGAATCGGAGGGAGAAAGGAAGTGGGGGTTTGGGAGGAGTGGAGGGAGGGGAAACTGCAGTTGGGATGTAATATATGAGAGAAGAATAAAGAAAAGAAAAGAGATAGAAATAGAAAGTCAACCATGTAACATGTGTTGTCAGGCCCTAGAGGATTCTGCTACACAATCAAGTGAAAGGACAACTAAAATACGCCAACCCTACTACAGAAAGGCAAAGCAAAGGACAGAGCCACTAAACAGTTGTAAAGATTGCCTATCTATAGCAATGCTAGCTCATCATGGTAATACAACATAAGTACTGTGTCAGTTAGCTTATGCCTGCTACTCTGCAGGGAAGTAGATTGCTCTCAATCTGTCTCATCTAGGTGATACATTCCTGGTGTGAATTTGAACATGTGAGAGGAAATGTTTGCTATTACTAATATTTCGAATACTAATGTATGATGTTGGTAACTGAAATGCTTATTGCTAAATACAACCTTGTCAATATTTGTCTAATGGCCTCTTCCTACTTCTCCTTTGATGCCAGAAGAATGAATAGTACAGTACCTCCCACCTCCCAAAATACCTTATTCCAGGAAATCTTTGCTCCAATTCCCTGGAAGCAGAGTCTGGGGTGGGAATTTTGGTGTTAGCGATGTATGAGGAAGCATTCTCAGAAGAAAGGAAATAGATTAGAGCAGTGAGGGGAAGCTAAGTAGGTTGGTTGCAGGTAGCAGTGAATGTGACTTCCTGGCTAAAATTGTTCTCTGAATCCTGAGAGCAGTACTCCAGAGAAATGAGCAGCTAAGAGCCATTATCAGAAAACAGTTAACAGCTGGGGGTGTGGGAGGTGAGTGAATAAATCCAGGCAAAGGGATCTAGATGGACCCTCACCAGCATCTATTACATGAATGTTTTTGTGACTCTTTATAGTTTTAGATACCGGTGTCTATCTGTGCCTCATGTGAGATTACATGGATTACAAACTAAATCTAGTATTATCGACAAAATCAAATATTAATAAGACTGAAATGTTTTAGCCCATGACAGGGAATCCCATGCCATTTGATAGGGCTATGATCATTTTAGCAATAATTGATTCTGTTTTTTCTTGATAATTTTAAAGACTTTCTTTACACTATCATAGAACTGCAAGGTTGATCCTCAAATCTTTGTTTCAATGATTTGTGTCATGTATACATGTCACACAAATTCATCAAATACCATCATTTTTCTACCATAGGCTCTTTTTTTTGCATGTGTATATCTACTCTTCTTTTTTAAATTTTATAATTAATTTAATTTTACATATCAGCCACGGATTCCCCTGTCCTCCCTCCTCCCACCGCCCCCTGCCCTCCTCCCAATCCACCCCCTATTCCCACCTCCTCTAGGGCAAGGATTCCCTGGGGATTCAGCTCAGCCTGGTAGATTCAGTCAAGGCAGGTCTTGTCCCCTCCTCCCTTCACCCAGGCTGAGCAAGCTCCAGGAGTCCATTCGGCGAGAGAGAGGAGGGATTGTATGAGCAAGAGATGTTGAGACCGTGATTGGAAAAAGCACAGGGACAAATAGCCAAACTAGTGGAAACACATGAACTGTGAACCAATAGCTGAGGAGCCCCCAACTGGATCAGGCCCTCTGGATAAGTGAGACAGTTGATTAGCTTGATCTGCGTGGGAGGCATCCAGGCAGTGGGACCAGGACTTGTCCTTAGTACTATAGGCTTTTAAAGAACACAGCAGGAAATGAGGCAAGACATCAAAACGATTGCTGCATTATTTCTGTGTATCTTGTCCTCAATGCCTGACATAAATTGTAGATGGCTGATCTACTCACCAGTGGATACCAGCCTTTTTTGTCCATAAAAACAAAGCACCTATTCAGGTATATGCAACACTGAAAAAATGTCCCCACTGAGGGGAGAAGTTCCAATGGCAACAACAAAAGGCATTTCTCCTGGCTGAAAGGCCTGTAAGGCAATACAAGACTGTCATTGAGGTGCAGATAAGGTCTCAACCTTGACTTGTACTTTCCCTTGTGGTTTTTGCACAGAGTACAACTTGCACAGCACCATATGACAATCCTTCTTGTAGGACCCCTTGACTGACTTTCCATTTTCAGTATGACCCTTCATATTTGTCAAAAGATAGCAATCCTGAAGAACCACTGAGCCATGCTATCTCTCAAGATGTGACTTAAAGGAGTCATCAATGAGAACTTTTAAGACAAAGAGGTCCTGAAGGAATGTGTCCTGGATATCCTCTCAATCAATATACACTCTCCACTCTTATGATCATGTGAAAAGACTTGCCTTAGAATTTTAGCAATGGAGCAAGGAATCCCTAGCATGTTAACTATGGTTCCAGGGTCTTGTGCCATTATGGTTTGAATATGAACTATCCCTCCATGGACTCATGTGTTTGAACAGTCTGTCCCTCATAGGTGGCATGTTTTGGAATGCTGCTGAACTTACAGGATGGGAAGGTTCATAGATAAAGGTGGGTCTATGGGGATAGGTCTTTGAGGATTAGAGCCTGGCTCTATGTCCACCCTGAGCTCTTTGCTTCCTGAACTGTCGAGACATGAACAAAGGTCAAGCCCCTGCCACCATGCCTTCCCAGCTGTACCTTCAGGAGGTGAGCCAAAACGAACCCCTAGTTTAAGTTGCTTTTGTCCGGTATTTTTGTCACAGTGATGCAGGAAGGTCCTAATACACATGCATAAGAAGTATAACATGGTGTCAGCTGTCGATCCTCTGGGAAGCTGTTTCTACCCTGGGATTTGTACATTAGTCAAATCATTAGAAATATCTGACATTAAATTGTTTTTCTGGAGGTAACTAAAAATTGATCACCAAAAAAATAAAATAAAACCTCACTGATGTTTCTTTCCCAATGTAGAAATCACTGGAGTGCAATTTTGTATGGCTTTCTATTCCCAATGTTCCAGTGAAAAGAGCTTGGAAGACAATAACTCTTTGGCTAGTTTTGTTAATGAAATGGATAGGATTTCTTATGTATGTCTGGGACCCAAGGGTCACTGTTAGAGTTTTGTTAATCTTTGGAGTTGTAGAAGTTATATAAAGGGTGGGCAGAGCAAAGAGGAAAGTAGAAGAAGAGGAAGATTAAAAACAGCATTGAAAAAACTTTAAGGTCAAACTTTCTTCTTTCACTATTTTTTTTTCTGATGACATAAATAATGCTTTCTTGAAAAGAAAAGTTTTCGGAGCTAACAATTTCTTTCCAGTTTTGTTTGAGATAGAAGTTAAATCATGTGCAACAGATGCTTGGAGAATTCTGAGGAAAAACACTTATCAAAAAAATGATTTCAAGTTATTTCTGGTTTAGGAACAACGCTAGACCATACCTATGGCTCAGGTAAAGTATGAGAGCCCATCTTCATGGGAGACCATCTGGTACTTGGAAGGATATGACTGTGTATGTGTACATGTGTTAGTCCATGTGCGGATATGAATGTCAAAGGTCAACATCTGAAATCTTCCTCAGTTGCTCTCCACATTATCTTTTGTTTTGTTTTGGTTTTGGTTTTTCGAGACAGGGTTTCTCTGTGTAGCTTTCGAGCCTGTCCTGGAGCTCACTCTGTAGACCAGGCTGGCCTCGAACTCACAGAGATCCACCTGGCTCTGCCTCCCGAGTGCTGGGATTAAGGCGTGCGCCACCACCGCCTGGCTTCCACATTATCTTTTGAGAAGGGTCCACTCACTAAACCTGGTGCTTACCTACTGGCTAGACTGACTGTCCAGTGAACTCTGGGTGTCAGCCTGTTTCCGTGCCCCACTTCCCCCACGGTTGTGCTAGTGTTACAGACACACAAATCACACCTAGCTTTTTGAACATGCATTTGGAGATCAGAATTCAGGTCCTCATGTTTGTGTGGCAGGTATTTTACCAACTGAGCCATTAGCCTAGCCTCATTACTTTTAATGTAGTAGTTTGAAGGTGAGCCTTCATAGTCCATATAGTACCTGCTGGGTGAATTGTTTCAATATTCTTTGCTGAAAGAAGATATTCCAGTAAACGCCATTCTATTTCTCTTTTAAGTGTTTCCAATAAACTTCAATAGATGTGAAGGTCACTTTTGACATTTACTGGAAAGTTTTGATATTTTTCATGATATTACAGAATAATGTTTTATTGTATCTTCATTGAAAATCTAATTTTTTTATTCATCTCTTGCTTATTCATTTAAGTCATAAATGTCTGTTAAAGAATATCAGTCAACCAGACTGAAAACATTTTTTTAAATAGAGGTGGAACATAAAGTAAATTACATTATTTGGTCCTGCATAACATTGTTATTTTTAAGACCAACCACCTATCTTATTTAAAATTTCAACTAAAAACATTTAAAATCATATCATAGTCAGTTGATGACACAAATTTCCATCATCCACAAAGGTAGATCTATTCAAATTGTGATCCCACGTAGGGAGAAAATGACAAACTAAAATATGGCATATAGCAGATTTATGGAAATAGTCAATGTGTGGTATGAGTAGATTTGTGATAAACACAGATGTGAAAAAATTAAATTGGTCCTGGAAAAATCGGAATCAAGGGCTACATCAGTCTCTAATGGACCTGAATTCCTGGATGGGTACCCATAGCTTTAACCATATGCTAACAGAGCTTCTTTCCACTTGTAATATGAAGTAGTCAATACACAGAGAGATATATGCTCTTGAAGGACTACCATCTTCCCATAAATGATTGGAAAAATACTTCAGTATAGTTAAGTTGCTATTTTTAAAGAATTTCATGATCTCTCTGTGACTGTCTGTCTTCCTCATCAGCCTGAAAATGGTACCCTATTTGCAGAATGTTCATTTAACTTCCTCATTGGTCTTAAGGCCCATGAACATAGCCCACAGACCTACTAGCAGTTGCCTGCCTGGCAAATGTTTATTTATAAATGAGCATGAATGATCATTTATTAAGGTAATAAGGATAGATTACATTTAATGAGTTAGACATTATGCACTGTAAGCATAGTGATTTATGTTTAATAGAAGGAAATGTGTATGATAATTAATATGATACCTAAATGTAATTCAGAAATTGTCAATTGAAGAGTGAGTTTAAACCCAGTCAAGCAAGATATTAAAGTGCCTTGGCATTTAAACTAGAAGCTTCAAGAAAGTCTCACAATAACAAAGCAATAACATATATTACTCATATCATGTATTAGGGATTTGTTACATTTTAAATTCTTCTCTTTTCCCATAAACTGATTTATTCTGTTCCTAAAGAACATTGTTTTTCTCTTGGCATGCATCACAGCATCAAAACTTTGGCTTCTGGAGCACAGGTGAGTAGTCTGTCAGCAGGGATACCATGACAGCCTGGGATGACATAAAAAAGAGAAATAAAAGTATAAACATTAGCATCAGTCTGCTTTGGGACTTAAACCGAGAGAATTAGGTTTTAGTTTTTCACACCTAGAGCTAAAATGTGTTTTCCCAAGGACATGAAAAGAGAACAGTTCTCAACTGATATTTATGTTTGTTTGGATAAAGGAGGGTCCTGAGGGATTAGACAGACCACAATATATGCATAAACACCATGCTTACTTAGGACTCATTCCAGGTCAGAGACTTGAAATGTGATGCTATGGTGCTTAAAATGATTGAGTTTTTCCAGTCATTAGTTGGAAAATGGGTACTGGTTTTATAGCCTATCCCAGCTCCTCTGTGATTTGGCCACTTGAAACCTAGAGAAGTTTGGGAGAAGCCATATACAAGTAATAAATGTAAACTACCCAGTCTAATGAATAATGCCTGCTCTCTGACAAGAGTGTAACTTGGTCTTGGGCTATCAACCACAAATAATTATTGTCACTTTTACTTTATTCTTCCCAATATCCATGCTAGGGACAGTAGAAACTTATCAGAAACAATAATACTGAATACACACACACACACACACACACACACACACACACACACACACACACCCCAAGTGCTCATTTGGGTACTTGTCAGTATAGTATACGAAATACCTTATTATGTGTCAGTCAAAAATATTTGCTGCCACTAAGCTAGATAATTGGCTGAGCTAGAAATGAACTTTCATGCATTATCTTATTTAATGAAATGACCTAAAGTGGGTTTCTGTAGTTATTTAGAAATAAAAAAGCAGCTAGTGCAGAAGTGGGTTTAAAGCTGAAGTCTCTGATCTACTCTTAAGAAGTAGTTTTGGTGCATCTGAAGTACATTCTTTTCCAAACAAGTGTGCTGAACAATTGGCCACAGGCTACAGCAGAAATGTAGTGTTTCAAAGAAGCTCACTGAATATACTTTAACAGATTATAATTCTGTATATGTGTGCATCTGTAGGTGGGTATGTGCATGTGATTGTAGTTATGTGCAGGTGCACACAGAGTCCAGAAGAGAGCTCTGGATCCTGGAGCTGGAGTTAGTAGGTGGTTATCCGCTTCCCTTTGTGGATGCTGGGAACTGAATTCATGTCCTCTGCAAAAGCAGTATGCATTCCTAACTGCGGAGCTATATCTGCAGGCCCCTGAATGTACTTTTAAGCAGCTAGCCTGTGCTGAGAGGTTTCTGTACATTATACCATTTTAAGACCTTTTATATTATATGAAGTGGTAAAGAGACATGAACTATAAACAATAAAGATGAGGTGCAGTTCTTCTGAATGGTTGGTGGTAAGAGGTGGATTTGTACTTGCTTGTCCTGGGAATCTGATCTCTGTGTTCAGATAACTCTTTCCTCATTAAATCTTCAAGACCATTTGAATTTGCTTCTGTTTTTAGCCTCAGTTTTTTTTTTGTGAGAAAATTTGGTTAAATGAAGTTAAGATATTTTCCCAAGATCAGAGGACTAAGTTTAAACCCATTTTTCAAAGCCCTCATTCCCAAACCAGTATCATATACTGCCTTTAGAGTAAAAAAAAATGCTTCAAGCACATATTTTGGTTATATTGCAAGTACTCTTCTAGGCATAATGCAGAACATAATGCAGACAAGGTCATTGTTCTTAGGAATGATCATTTTCTTTCATTTCAGTAGGAGAAAAAGTAATAGACAAAGAAATAAAATCTTCAAGGAGTTACTTTTAGGCAATAAAATTTTAAAATTGTTAAAGGGATGCTAAAGAACCAAGTAAGAATCGACAGCCTAGGGAGGGCTTGGTAAAGAGAGACATTGATAAAAAGGACCTAGGGAGACCATTCTATCCTCAGGGAGGATAAAAACATATAACAGGCAAAAGTGTTTAAGTTCTTTTAGGGTCTTATAGGTCTACATCTTCTGTTTTCCTTTATTGCTCATAGTCACACAAGATGCCAAGCTGATCTAGACACACACACACACACACACACACACACACACACACACACACACACACACACACACACACACACAATTAGAAATGGGCAGTGTTGCCAGACAGACTCAAATTAAAAATTACACTTACATAGAGATGTCAGCTAAATGGTACTTTTTTTCACTATAAGTATGTTCTAAATACTGTTTGGAAAATATTAATATTAAAAATACATTGTTTATTTGAAATTGTAACTTAACTGGGCATAGTGTATTTAATCTGCCAATCCTAGTTTAGAGAGGAGTGAATGATTTCAAGTACTATGAATTTGTATTTGCAAAGGTGTTCCATACTTAAGGGCCATTCAGATAACAGTGCTTTTAAGTATTTGCATTTTTTAAAGAGTCTCTTTAGGCTACTTTAGTAGAATGGGTTTAAAAAATGTAGACAGAGGGAAAAAAATCTACCAAGAGATTTGCAAGTATCGCTTTCTTACTAATCATATGAAAATACAAAACCAAACTTTCTGGAGAAGAAAGGATGCCTTTTGTTAATGTTTTTAAATGAAAAAGCCCAAAGACTCATGTACTATGGAGATAATGATGTGTTCATGAGAATGCGAGAAACGGATCTGTGGGAAAGTACTTAATGTGGAGGCCTTAAAAAGGAACTGAATGAGCACACTTCTGCTTAAAGATCTTACACATTTTAGGAACAGCCTCTACATTCTGTGAATGACACTAATAGTCATTGTATGCATCTCAGACATGGAAGCAAGGTAGTATCTTTTCTTCTTTTTTCCATCTTGATTTTCAATGAAGTCATATAGTAGAAAATCATTCCCTAGAGTAGTGTTGTTCAATAGAACTGTCTGCAGTGATGGAAACACACTGCCTGTGCTATCTAACATGGTAGCCACTAGCTACAGACAATATTGAACACTTAATGTGGGTTCCAAGGTTAGTTTGACCGAGAAATTGAATCTTCAATTTATTAAGTTTAATATAAATGTAAATAGCTATGTGTACCTACTGGCTCCTGGATTGGTAGAACAATTGTAGGGTATTGTCCATTTAGAGCATCCTGCAAAAATTATCACTGTGGTGCTGAACCTAAAGGCATTCTGAACAAGTAGAAAATTATTTTATTGCCTATAAAACAAGGATGCAGTCTAGATGACCTCCAGGGTCTCACTTTGCTTGCAAATGTTCTGCACTTAGAAACTGTAACAGGCTATGTGAGGGCTGCATATTATTCTCTTGTGTTTTCCTTTGAAATCCCCCAGTGCCCGGCAGAGCACCTGGCAAAGGTTTGGAAACTCATATCATGTGGCTGAACTGAACTGAACTCCAAGGAACCTCCAAATCCTCCAGCATAGACACCAGGAGTGTAGCCATGTGCTGCCAAACTTTTCATCGCTCATGTCAAGCTTGTTAATTAACCAGTTATGCCCCCTCTTTGTGTTCTACACCACAGGCAGACACAACATTTCCCTCCACACAGGTCTTCAAAGAAGCCTATTGATGACATTAGTGACCTAAATAAAATGAAGCCTCAATTATAATCTCTATTACTCAGTGAGCTCATTTTATGGGTAAGAAGATTGGGACAATGTACTCAGGGTGACACAAATGGTTTGTATTGAAACTGTTTGGTAGAAGAGGTTTCTTCATAGCCAGTTCAGCATTCTTTCAACTTTAGACTCTCTACACTCATTTTAACATGGTTCTACCTTCTAGATTTCATTAAGATAAATCTCTTCCTAATAAGAGTATCCCAAAGCAACGGGATGGTGAAGCAATAGTAAGACCTAGATAGGCAAAGTGGGGTGTAAAAATTCACTGCGTAAATGTGTGTTCTTATAAATATTTTAACCATATCAATGTATTAGACATAGCAATATATTATACATGTAAGTTTAGAAGTAAGCCAAACTTAAACATGTTGTGTAATAAGCTTTCAAAGTTCAGAAATATGGACCATCCCTTGTATTTTTTTTTTTTTTTTTTTTTTTGGTTTTTCGAGACAGGGTTTCTCTGTGTAGCTTTGCGCCTTTCCTGGAACTCACTTTTTACAACCTTCCTTAACAGACTTACTTGGAAAATCTTTGAAACTTCAGTTGCCCTCTGATAAAAATAGAGTCTGAGGGGAAACTTTACGGTCTTTTCCTAAGGTGAATATTGGAGAGCTTCTGTTTTCTATTTTTCATCATCTAGATCTTTAATACTCAAATGATGGTCCAAAATGCAATGGCACCTGAATTATCTAGGTTCTCATTAGAAATACCAACTCTCCTACAAGGAGGTAAGGCCACCCATGGGGAGGTACATTTAGTAGAGGCAGGTCCAAGCCCCTCCCCTGCCTCAAAGTTGTGTGAGGTGTCCCATCATAGGTAGTGGGAATGGGGAATGGGTTGGGAAGAGGCTGGAGGGGCAGAAGGAGGGAAGAGGGGGATCTTTGGTTGGTATGTAAAATGAATAAAAAATTCTTAAAAAAAAAGAAATACCAACTCTCCAGCCCCATCTCAGAACTAGTAAACCCAAACTTACACTTAACAAGATACTTGGGTGAGTAAAATGATCATTAAATCTTCAGAGACTAGCCTAGATGATAGAGCAATTGCAGTTTTAGCCAAAATTGATGTCCTGCTGTTCACAGTATCAGATCAACCCTGAATAAAATAATTATGGTGCCAATTATGATAATACTTATAATACATTAGGCACTACACTAATTTTTCATGTATTATTTAATGTTTACAATGATCCTATTCTCACTGATAGATAAAGAATAAGAAGATAGTCCTGCCCGACTCGCTTTACTGTGGTGATTAGAAGCCAATACTACATTTCCCAGATTTCCTTGAAACTTTAGTACAGGAATGGTAATAAGTTATATCTACTAAAGACTTGGAAATACACGTGATACTAGGCTGGCAAAATGGCTCAGCAGGTAGAGACAACTTGCCACCAAACATGAGGAGCTGAATTTGGCTCCCAAGACCCACTGGTAAAAGTAAAGAACTGACTCCTGAAAAAAAAAAAAAAACTCCTCTGGCCTCCAATTATATGCTGTGTTAAGTGCATGCCACCCTTGCACATTCAAAAATAATTAAAATAGAATTTCAAAATAAAAAATAGATGCCATATGAACAATCAGTATAGTTGGATAGCCTTGGTTGCTTACCCAAAAGCATGAATTGTCAAGTTGCAAGCACATTTAGAGTTTATTACCCTTCCACACACACCCTTTTCCTTACCATGATTGTCCACTTTCTATTTTCTGCCTCTGGGAACACTAATGACCGTGGAGAATAAAACACTTCATCATCCACTTCTTCTGGCTTTCTAGGCAAGCAGTGTAAAAATGTCCAGTCAGATGCTGCAACTTTAGCAGTCTAAAGCGATAGGGATAAGATCACATTTTAAATATTAACTCATATGGCAGTCATATATATCTTCTTTAGTATTTAATAACACATTTGTCCTAGCATAATATATCATTACAAAGCAAAGGGGCAGAGTGAAGTTTTTAGCTAAAGACACCAAGGATAATGAATTAATTCCTTTAACCTTTGGCATTTTGTAGTCACTCTTAAGTTTGGGAGATCATCACTCCAAGTTAAACCAGTAATTCACTTTTCTGATATTCCACCTACCAGGGCCGTAGACATTTTTAGTAATGAACTATCCTGATACATAGTTGCTAGCAAAAGTTTCCAATATACAAAGAAGTTACTTTGATGCATTGGAATTATATTTTGAGCTTTTTTTCAAATTATGAGTTTTAGCATTTGAAGCATACTTGGTCACAAATTAAAATAATTTTGAAGAAAGCAGTGAGGTAGGAGTACATTGAAAGGATTCTGAGCACTCTGCTCTAGTTATTTTCTTCCCAATGCAAATGTACTACCACTCTCAATTTTCACCCGCAGTTAATTCCCAAAAGTAACATTCCCCCATCCATTTCCATTTTTTCACTTACAGATTCAAAACTACATTGCTTCATGCATTCTTACCTCAAAATTACTGCCTTTGTACTAAAATTTTATTTCACATTAAAGTTGAGAATAATTGAGCTTCTAAAGCACTGGCAAAATGAGATGGAAAGCAAGTAACATTTATACCTGTCATACATCAGTAAAATTATTATTCTGCAAGCTTACAGTACCAGAATCAGAAAATCACCCAAGGCAGGCAGGAGGTAAACCATAGGTAAGTTAAAATCGCTCCACCAAATATTTGAAACATATATGACAAAAGACTAACCATAGTGTATAAAAAGCTCCTGCAAACAGCGATAAAAGGGGGGGATAGAAACCATGTAAAGATATGATAGCAATGTAAAGACATAGAAATGGAAATGACCAATAAATATGAAAAATGCTTAGCATAATCAGAAATAAGGCAAATTTTAAAAACAGCAAGATACCATTTTCTCTTCAATTTACAAGATGTAAAATGTAAATAACAAAGATGTATAGAGAAAGAGCAATAATATACATCTAGAAGAATTTAAACTATTCACCCTGTTTAGATGAACACCACTGGTATTTTTAAACGTATATAACACCTCACACAAAAATTCTTCTTTCAGAAACTTATGCTCTAGTAACACTTCACAAAGAAATATGAGTAAGGTTGTTCATTGTAGAATTGTTTGAAATTAGTATTTGTAAATACATAGATTAATGAATCAATAGGAATCATTATGGACACATTATCATTTACTTGCACTTTGGAATTCTATGTGCAATACTGCAAAAAATAAAATATCTAAATAGAATTGAGTTGTGACTGGACAGAAGCATAAGGTGATGTTTCTCCATCTAGATGCTGGGAGGAAATTCACTTTGTGGAAGTAGGATCATCTTTATACTTACGGTTTGTGCTTTTTTGTTTACATGCATGCTGTTCCTTAATTTAAAAAAAACCTTCATTTAAAAATATTCAAGGGCTGGAGAGACAGGACAGCAGTTAAGAGCATTGGTTCCTTTGTCAGAGGAGCTGGGTTCGATTCCCAGAAGCTCACAATTGTCTGTAACGCCAGCGCTAGGGGATTCAATGCCCTCTCCTGGCCTCAATGGGCACTGCATGCAAGCGGTGCACAGACATACATGGAGGCAAAAGACTCATAAACATAAAAGTGGAAAGAAATACACTTTTACAAACTAAAAATATCTAAGTGAATTGATAACAAAATCTAAATTTTGTCACGTGAAAAAAAGCAAATTAGAATAATATGTCTAAAGCACCATGTTGCAAAAATCAAATTAGTATTTGCATGTAAATGGGCAAACATATTGTAACCATGCAGAAAAAGGTCTGAAAAGAACCACATTATATTGTTACATAGTAACTATCTGTGAAAAAAAAATCACTGTTGGGAGAGAAGTAGACAGAGAGAAAAAAATAAACATGTTTGTATACATTGTTAAAGGGGGGGGGAAGTTTTGCTTTGTTTTTCAAACTTCCATTCCAATTGATATGTAATAAAAAGAAAATTATTTCTGTTACTTTATTCATAATTTGCGTGTGTTTGTATAATCACTTCTCCACCCTAGTGTGCTCTTGTCATTTGGGGTACACTTTCAACAGAGGTTTTCAAAGTGTGGCCCTCATGTAGCAGAACTGCATCACCTGGGAGTCAGCTACAATGCAAATTCTTCTGTGTTTGACCTACTGAGTCAGAACCCCTGGGGTTGGGGTTGTCCAGCTGAGGATTAACAATACACACAGGCCATTCTGATGACGGCTCAAGACTGATTGAAGCAGAGAGTGTGTGGAGGAAGATACAACTCAGTGGTAGAGTTCTTTGCCTAACATGCACTAGGCCCTGGGCTCTATGCCAATGTCCAATACTTCAGACAACAAAAGAAAGAGGCAAGGGAAGGGAAGGAGGCAATCGGGAAGAAAAGACTGATCTTCCTGGAAGGCATTAGATTGAAGGGGTGTCCCTTAGGAATCCCTAGGGAGGGTTGGCAAAGCTGTCATGAATTTAAGAGACATTGGAAAATAAAAGCAAGAACTAACCTGACAAGCACAGTTATGGGGCTCTTCTTCTGGGAGAAATCTTATGAAATTGCTTGCACCCGAAGTAACCCAATGTTTCCAAACTTACATAGAGTAAAGCATTTTGAGACCTCGATTGTTGTTAGAAGGGGAAAAAAACGCACTTTTCTCTATGGCCCAGGTATCATAAGTGCTTTTTCCAAAGGATATCACTAATGTTTGGGAGTAGAGAGATCATGTTGGGATGCAGTGAGTTCTTAATGGAATATGAAAGGTCAGTCTACTGTCCCTAAAGTGAATGAGTGCTGAGATGGTTCTAGTCTTTATGAATGTAGTTGATGAAATTTCAGAGAAGCAGCAATTTGTACCTTCATTGTAACCTGGTAACCCTGGAAAGCCTGAAGACGCTTTTTCTTCTCCTCCTCTTGTCCCATACTTATCCAAGTGTCTGTAATTAGTACATTGCCTCCACGTGCTGCTTCCAATGGATCATTTGTCATTGACAGCTTGGTACCATTCTAGCACAGAAAATTTGCTGGTTAAAAAACAGAAACTTCATGGGACAGCGAAAGGCAATTGGAACATTACAAGTAGAGAGCATACCTCCTTGGCATACTGCTCTGCCACCTTGACTATATTAGGATCTGGCTCATAACCCTGCAAGAAGAAAAAAATAGCCGTTATTTAGGCAATTAGATAGTTTAATTATATATGACACTATTATATCTTTTTTTTTTTTTTTTTTTTTTTTTTTTTTTTTTTTTTTTTTTTTTTTTTTGGTTTTTCGAGACAGGGTTTCTCTGTAGTTTTGCGCCTTTCCTGGAACTCACTTTGTAGACCAGGCTGGCCTCGAACTCACAGAGATCCGCCTGGCTCTGCCTCCCGAGTGCTGGGATTAAAGGCGTGCGCCACCACCGCCCGGCTCGACACTATTATATCTTATACCTAATATGTATCTAATGACTTAAAACAAGACAAAATAAAGCTCAGAAGTAGTCTCTCTCTTCGCTTTTTAAAAGATGCTCCATGTTCCATGTTCAGTAGAGCACACTGGCTTTCATGCTGTGCTTTGGACTTTAAAAGGGCAAATAATTGTTCCATCTTTCCTGGGCTATCTCTGTTTGTTTTTTTTTTTTTCAGTTGTAAAGACAAAAATACAGAGCATGGCATTTTCTACCTCACGACAGATCTCTCTTTGACCCTTTAATGGCATTAGAAGGTTAGATACATAATTGCACAGCCTAGTACATTTTTATCTGTGCCTTTGCACAAATGGCTCTTTTTGTTTGCCTAACACGCTTTTGCTCACCCATTCCATGGACAATTTTTGAAGTCTCAGTTTGAATGACTGCTCCCCGGAAAAGCCCTCTATGACTATTCCGGCAAAATACTAATGGGCTCCTTCCTGCCTTATTCTTTTCCAGGGGAATGCGACTTGCTTTGAAATGTCGTTTATGTATGTGCTTGAATGGTTTGGAGAGGTAAGCAAGGTGCCTATAAAGAGGTATTCATTCTTAGGATTAAATGATTTTGCATTCTGGGGGTCTTGTTTACTCAGCCTACTCCTAGCACTAATGGACATTTTGTGGGCAACTAAAGTGGCTAAAGCTATTGTCTGTTTTGTAGACAACAGCCTCAATTGTTCAATACTTGCTTCTTATGTCAGAGCTGATTAAGAGTCTCCAGCCTCTCTGGCTACATCTCCTGCTTCCATCTCCTTTAATTCTTCTCAATGTACTGCCACAGGAAAGCCAATCATCTTGTCATCCCTGTACACATTTTGCCCTTTTTTGCCATCTCAGCCTTTCACCCTTGAACATCTCCTGGTGGGTGTCTTCATCAGAACATGACAGCTCATGAACTCTAGCCTTATCTCCAGTGCCTCCATATAGTAGTCATGTCAGATCAAACCCCATAATTATGCTCACCCTTCTCCATCTTTCCCAATTTTTTGTTTTTTTTTTTAAATTTTTTTCTTTATTAAGATCCCCCTCTCTTCCCTTCTCACACTCCCTTGCCAGCCTTCCCCATCAGGAAAGCCTGGTACATTCAGTTGAGGCAGGTCCAAACCCCTCCTCCCTGCAGCAAGGCTATGCAAGGTGTCCCACCATAGGCAGTGGTCTCCAAAAAGCCAGCTCATACACCAGGGATGGATCCTGATCCTATTGCTAGAGGGGCCCTTAAGCAGACCAAGCTACACAATGGTCTTGCTTATGCAGAGGGCCTAGTCCAGTCCTATGGAGGCTCCACAGCTGTTCGTCTAAAGTTCACGAGTACCCACTAGCTTGGTTTGGCTGTCTTTGTAGATTTTCCCATCATGATCTTGATGCCCTTTGCTCACAGAATCCTTCTCTCTTCGACTAGACTCCTGGAGCTCGGTCTGGTGCTTGTCTGTGGATCTCTGCATCTGCTTCCATCAGTTACCAGAGGAAGGCTCTATGATGACAGTCTGGGTATTCAAGAGTCGTTGTGATATTCACCAGTCTGATTACTGGGGTAAACCAGTTCAGGTACCCTCTCCACTATTGCTAGTGGTCTAAGCTGGGGTCATCCTTGTGGATTCCTGGGAACTTCCCTAGCATCCAATTTCTCCCTGTCCCCATAATGTCTCCCTTTATCAAGATATCTCCCTCATTGCTCTCCCACTCCACCCCTGTTCCAGCTCGACCATCCCATTCCCTTATGTTTTCATCCACCACCCCCTACTCTCTATTACTCCCCTCACCCCCAGTTTACTCAGGGGATCTCATCTATTTCCCCTTCCTAGGGTGATCCATGCATCCCTCTTAGTGTTCTCCTTATTACCTAAGACTGTGGATTGTAGTCTGGTTATCATTTGCTTTACATCTAGTATCCACTTATGAGTGAGTACATATCATATCTATCCTTCTGAGTCTGGGTTACCTCACTCAGGATGATATTTTCTAGTTCCATCCATTTGCCTGCAGATTTCATGATGTCATTGTTTTTCTCTGTTGAGTAGTACTCCATTGTTTATATGTACAATATTTTCTTCATCCATTCTTCAGTTGAGGAGCATCTAGGTTGTTTCCAGGATCTGGCTATTACAAATAATGCTGCTATGAGCATAGTTGAGCAACTGTCCTTGTGGTATGATTGAACATTCCTTGGATATATACCCAAGAGTGGTATAGCTAGGTCTTGAGGTAGATTGATTCCCTATTTTCTGAGAAACCACCATTCTGACTTCCAAAGTGTCTGTAAAAGTTTGCACTCCTATTAACAGTGGAGGAGTGTTCCCTTAACTCCACATCCTCTCCAACATAAGCTGTCTTCAGTGTTTTTTATCTTAGCCATTCTGACAGGTGTAAGATGCTATCTCAGAGTCATTTTGATTTGCATTTCCCTGATGACTAAGGATGTTGAGTAATTCCTTAATGTCTTTCGGCCATTTAAGATTCTTCTGTTGAGAATTCTCTGTTTAGCTCCCTAGGCCATTTTTTAATCAGATTGTTTGGTATTTTGATGTCTAGTTTCTTGAGTTCTTTATATATTTTTGAGATCAGCCCTGTGTCAGATGTTGGGTTGGTGAAGATCTTTTCCCATTCTGTAGACTGTCGTTTTGTTTTATTTACCATGTCCTTTGCCTTACAGAATCTTCTCAGTTTCAAGAGGTCCCATTTATTAATTGTTGGTCTCAGTGTCTGTGTTACTGGTATTATATTTAGGAAGTGGTCTCCTGTGCCAATGCATTTAAGGATACTTTGCACTTTTTCTATCAGTTTCAGTGTACCTGGATTTATGTTGAGGTCTTTGATCCACTTGGACTTGAGTTTTGTGTATGGCAATAGATATGAATCTATTTGCAGTCTTCTACATGTTGACATCCAGTTATGCCAGCACCATTTGTTGAAGATTGTTTTTTTCCATTGTACAGTTTTGGCTTCTTTGTCAAAAATCAGGTGCTCATAGGTGTGTGGATTAATGTCAGGATCTTCAAATGATTCCATTGGTCCACATGTCAATTTTTATGCTAATACCAAGCTGTTTTTAATTACTATAGCTCTATAGTAGAGCTTGAGGTCAGGGATGGTGATGCCTCCAGAGGTTGCTTTATTGTAAAGGATTGTTTTAGCTGTCCTGGGTTTTTTTTTTTTGTTGTTGTTGTTTTTTCATATGAAGTTGAGTATTGTTCTTTCCAGGTCTGTGAAGAATTGTGTTGGAATTTTGATGGGGACTGCATTGAATCTGTAGATTGCTTTTGGTAAGATTGCCATTTTTACTATGTTAATCCTACCTATCCATGAGCATGGGAGATCTTTCCATTTCCTCATATCTTCTTCAATTTCTTTCTTCAAAGTCTTAAAGTTCTTGTCATACAGGTCTTTAACTTGCTTAGTTAGAGTTACCCAAGATATTTTATATTATTTGTGGCTATTGTAAAGGGTGATGTTTCTCTGATTTCTGTTTCAACCCATTTATCATTTGTATATAGGAGGGCTACTGATTTTTTTGAGTTAATCTTGTATCCTGCCACATTACTGAAGGAGTTTATCAGCTGTAGGAGTTCCCTGGTAGAATTTTGGGGGTCACTTATATATACTATCATATTATCTGCAAATAGTGAAAGCTTGACTTCTTCCTTTCCAATTTGTATCCATTTGATCTCCTTTTGTTGTCTTATTGCTCTAGCTAGAATTTCGAGTACTATATTGAATAGATATGGGGAGAGTGGACAGCCTTGTCTTGTTCCTGATTTTAATGGAATCACTTTGAGATTCTGTCCATTTAATTTGATGTTGGCTGTTGGCTTGCTGTAAATTGCCTTTATTATGTTTAGGTATGTTTCTTGTATTCATGATCTCTCCAAGACCTTTATCATGAAGGGACGATAGATTATATTGAAGGCTTTTTCAGCATCTAATGAGATGATCATGTGTAGCTAGAGAATTTCTCTCCAGTTCCCATAAAGCCCCACCAGTTCCGGAGCCCACTTATAAAATAAACACACTGACTCTTATATTATTTAAACTGCTCGGCCATTAACTCAGGCCTACCATTGTCTATCTCTTACTCTTATAGTAAGGCCATTTCTGTTAACCTATATGTCGCCACGTGTTCCGTGGCTTTACCTGTTGCCTCTACATGATGCCCCCTGAACAGCAGCTGGTGTCTCCTCTCCTCTGCTTTCCTCTCCTTTTCCTCTCTCTTCTCTGCTAGTCCCGCCTATACTTCCTGCCTGGCTACTGGCCAATCAGTGTTTTATTTATACGGAGTGATATCCACAGCAATCATGTGGGTTTTTTTCTTTCAGTTTGTTTATATGGTGGATTACATTGCCAGAATATCATATGTTGAACTATCCTTGCATCTCTGGGATGAAGCCTATTTGATCATGGTGGATAATTTTGTTATGTGTTCTTGGAGTCTGTTTGCCAATATTTTATTGAGTATTTTTGCATCAATGTTCATGAGGGAGATTGGTCTGTAATTCTCTTTCTTTTGCATCTTTGTGTGGTTTGGGTATGAGGGTAACTGTAACCTCATAAAAAGTTTGGCAATATTTCTGTTGTGTGGAACAATTTAAAGAGTATTGGTATGAGCTCTTTGAAATTCTGGTAGAATTCTGCACTGAAACTATCTGACCCTGGGATTTTTTTGGTTTGGAGAATTTAATGACTGTTTCTATTTCCTTA